ACAAGTCCTCTCTCGAAGAAAGAGTCGGGGAGACCTGCTACTTCCTCCGAACTTGAATCAGTCTCGTCCGCCCCTTCAGAAGTTTCGGTCGCTTCACTATCAAACTCTTCTTCACTATCCGTTGGGTGGGCTGGTTCCTTTCCTTTTCTCGAGGATTCAGCAGCTTCTTTTCCTCGAGTCGACACCATAGTCTCCTCACGAGTCGCCTCTGTCTATGAATCCGATACTCTCCCACGTCGAGTGACGATATTAGCGGCAATCAACCACTTACAAAAGAGGAAGGTCATCCATAGAGGCGGCGCTTCTAAAGGTAGATCAAATTCAGCGTTGGTGCAGCCGGCGATACTCCAAAACCAAGCTCTCGCACCGTCGATAAGTCCACTTCGAAAGCTAAGGTGACGGTTTGGGTTGCCAACATATATCTGGTCATAGCCAAACTGACGGGCGAATCGACATGGGAGATAAGGTTCAATGTGACAAACATCTCTTACCCTAAACAATAGATATCCAGGTCGAATATTCATCAGCCATCTGAAACATCTGACATCTAGAACAGTACGGTCCTGCCTCGGGTCTTCAGCATCCAATAAAGTTGTGTTGTAAGTGCCGGAGAACCGAGGGAAGCAAGGGAAGAATTCCCAACACTTATGAATTTTGAACTGCCTCGTTATGTCCGGCCATCGATGGTTGATCCATTTGCAACCCTCAAGGGTCTGTAAAAGAGGAAGACTAGGATCCACCGTCTCAGGAGCTTCCATTAAATCTGGCCGGTGCAGAACCAACCATGTCATCAAATAAGTGTAGGGTAATTCTAGTTTCGGAACAGATATACTGGCAGAGGGTTTCTTTTTCTCTTGCGTGAATGCGGAAACTAACTGCCGTAACCCACTGTGAATAGCCGCCACCATAGCAGGAAGCAAGGATAATCTGCGACCTGTGGCTAACTGGACGGCTGGATACAACACTTCCATTGGCATAGCGTCGGATGACTGGTGAGGAACTACACATCTCTTCAATCATATGGCCAGAAAGCCAGCCAGCAGAGTAGTGGGTCGAATCGGAACACCAGCTTGAAACAAATAAGAGCGGAATTTAGTTCCGTGCGAAAACCCATCTTCTGAATGAGAAGTGTAAGATTGTGCGTTTGTTTTCTCCAACAGCCGATTGATGTCACCCGTGCTCAAATGAGATAATCCACATACCTCTCCCGATCGATCCTCCAGGTTTTTGAACAGATAATCGGCGAATTGCTTTAAGCTGACCTGGGGAGATTTCTTCCTAGCTTTGGTATCCATCTCAGCTATAGCTATATGATAATGACAAGTCAGCTCCCATAAAGTCTCGTGGGTCACAGATGACCGATCCTTCATCTTATTAAGCTGACTGGTGGTTGGAAAGAACTCTTGATATGGAACATTGCCTATGGGCAAGCCAGACACCTTCATCATTTCGTGCAATGGTAACCCGAGCTCCCCATTCTTGGTGAAGAACGTATTAGTGTCAGGATTATAGATCTCGAACAAACGGAGGAAATGACCTACACTGATTTGCAGACCATGCATGCTGGCACGGATTGGGACTTCCAACCCTAGTTCTGCTAACTCTCGCCCCCAACGGTTCAACACATATCGAGTCATTCTGGTCCACCACCATTTATCCCCATAATAATGGACCCATCCATAACATCTGAAACTCTCGTGGGGTAATTTATTCTTCATTGCAGCCAAACGGTTCTTCACGGTGTTGGCCTGCGCTGTCTTTTCATTCTGATGTATATTGTCTTGGCCTAAGACACCCGGATGAAGCCCTCGTATAGAGACTCTTTCACTGGAACCTGGAGTAGCCTCTTTCCCGATGAAACCACAATGAATACGTTCGTGGTTTTCGGTTAACTTCCAGAACATTTCACGTCCAACCGATAAATTCCTAAACTTTAACAGTGAATGCTCTCGAGAGATAAAAGGCAAGTAAAGGAATGACGAACCATCCTCGTGTAACCACTGTGCAGGCTTGCAGAAAGCAATCGTCGGATCCTTTATGGAATCACCAAACAAGAAGTCTGGTTTCCTTATACATTGGTTTGAGTCCTGCTCTGAAATTAATGTTGCGTCCGTGATTAACCGTAGCAGAATACGACAACTACCCCGTTGAATCAACTCTCGGGCCCCTTCGCATTAATCTGACTTAAACTGAGGAGCAGACTCAACTAACGGTAGCCCCTCATAGTAAGAATGAGTGACACTACTCTGGCCCGTAACTGCATCGACGGTGAAGATTGTGGCAGGAAAATGGACTGATACAGGAGATACACATAAGCTGTGTAAGTATAGTCCTAAAATTTTAGAGAAAACGGTATATCTTACTCCATAAGATATAGTCGATATCTCATAACAGGTGTGACGATTTTCCATCTACCATATGTATAAAGGAGATATGCGTTACTATGCACGGGCATTATAACGGCATACCAGAACCTTTCAATACATGTGGGATGATATGAAATCGCCCATGTGTATTATAAAGTGTGTTTTGTCCAAGCAAAACAAACACTTTTAAGCGTCGATCCCCTCGAAGGAGGATACCGGCTCTTTTTGTCCAAGCAAAACAAACACTTTTAAGCGTCGATCCCCTCGAAGGAGGATACCGGCTCTTCTCGAATGTATCTCAAAGGATACAAACGAGGATCTGCATGCAAATACAGATGCATATATATGAAATTGACAAAATACAATATTTAAATTTGCGAAAGGGTGAAAGAGATATACCCCCATGTGAAACGACAGCGGGACCAGTCTCTTCAGGGGACTGAGCAGTCGAGCGGCCTCGGGAACCTCTGGATCGGCGCAGCGACATGATGAAAACACAAGCTACATTGAAACCCGAGAGAAGACTTAGGGTTTTGAACGTGAAATTGAACAAAATATCACGAAATATTATTGAAACAGTGCATGCATGAGGGAAAGTTGAAGAAAATCAAAATTGTGAGAGAAGAAGAGGAGAACAGACCTCCAAAATCCGAAGGAAATCTCCCCAAACAAAAGCTCCACACGAATCAGAAACGAAGAGAAGGAGAAAAGACAGAGAACTGGTCGAAACTTGCAGAAAATCGCCCAAGAAATCAACAAAAATCGCCCAAAATCCGACGTGAAAAACCCAGAAAAAACCCTAAGTCGGGGTTTTATAATCCCGACTTCGCCGTGCGGGACAGACTTTACTGTCTCGCACCGCGAGACAGTATTTACTGTCTCACACCGCGAGACAGCATATACTGTCTCACACCGCGAGACAGCATTTACTGTCTCGCACGCGAGACAGCATTTACTGTCTCGCACCACGAGACAGTATAAGTTGTCTCGTATCACGAGATGGTGACGACCGTTTTATGATATCGTGCTGTTTCGATACACATGAATACTCCAATGGGTACACGAGTATAAACTGTATTCCTACCCTCAACAAGAAGTTTCTGGAGAATATTAATCTGAATATTCTTAAAAATAACCTGATGAGCTTTTAATGGATCTATCAATTCAATGAAGAAAGCTGAACCCACAGGAACAAGTACTAACTTCAATTCAAGATCTCGACAACGGTCAAGCGATAAACACAACGCCGGGAAAGTATTAGCTATTCTACAAAGAACTGAATAGACTAATGGATGAAGAGATCAAGAGCTGAAGCCATGTTACAGATTCTTCTACACGATCTACTCAACCAAGCATTGAAGGGATCGTAAGTAAAATTTATCTTATCCAAAGTATCCCAGACTCTTCTATAAAAGAATACGTCTGGAAATACTTTAGAGGGGGTATCTGTAGGCGTCAAAAAATGCTAATAGATATCCCAAACATAGAGACTCAAAAAATCACAAGAATTGATCTCATACTGTTTTTGGAAAATCAAGACAGGTATGAACTGTCTCGCCAGCGAGACAGACTTTGTTGTCTCGCCAGCGAGACAGCTGTCTCGCGGGCCGAGACAGCAAACACTGTCTCGCCCAGCGAGACAGTAAACACTGTCTCGCGGCCATAACGTGTTGTTTTGTTTGAGTTTTGTGCAGTTATTACCCCTGGGGCTATAAATACCCCCCTAGGGTCATTTCTGACGAGGATCGAGCATATCTTCGAGCAATCCAGAGCAGAGAGAGCAGATTTGAGTTTTCGTGCAATTCCTTGAAATTGAGCTTTGACTTGATTTTAAGAAGAATGACTATCTTACTTTGATAAGATATCGTTTCAAGTTCTCACTTCGATAAACGAAGTCAGAATCAGTAAACCCCCTTCACGATCTGTGATTCGGCGGTCCACGAACCAAAGCGTTCCCGGCACAGGCAAAGTCCCACAAAAACAGGATTCGATAAACGACTTCTGTGTTAGTTTCTCAAGAGTTGTAATTTTCTAATTTTTTCATTGTAATTCGTTGTAAACGACCAAAGTTCAATAGAATTATCAATGGAAGCAACTTTTGATGCAAACAAAGGGAACTCCCTTCCCTTCCTTTCTCTCAGTTTCCCTTAACTTCCCTTCACCCCCTACAAATCCAAACAGGCCCTAAAGCACTATCAAAGAAGGTGATTGTATCCTTCACAATTGGCCTAGTGGTCGAGGCCCTCAAAGGCCAAAGATGATATGTTTATTCTTAGGGAAATTCCCCAAGGACCCAAATTTATAGGACAGGGGAGGGGACAGGTGAGGTGTCCCCTCCCCATTGCCATGCCCTGTTCAATGGGGAGGGGACATCTCACTTGTCCCCTCCCTTGTCCCATGAATTTAAGTCCATGTAGCATGACTCTTATTCTTAACTTTTAATTATTAGACATTGCACGACATGTGATATTCGTCTTTGGCCTCAACACTAAAAGTGGGTCGTAAGCACTAAGGGTTTACTAGACTGGTACTAAGCCATTTCTCGCACCAGTATAAAATAAAATAAAACAAAAAGGAAACAGTGATATTAGGAAATAATCAGATTTTGGAGGTATATTTATTTATGCTGTTGAATGTTCTCAGTATAATACCCCTTTCTTAATAGTACTGAATATAAACTTAGTCTGAGCATTAAAAAAAAAAACATGCCTCTTGATTGCAGTTCATAGAAAGAGCCTGTCTTGTAGTATTCCGATTGCATTCCCCTATTATCTTACACCGAGAAGATTAAACCATGATCACCTTTTTTTTTCTTTTTTTCATGAAACATATATTGGACAACACTTATTTGCGAATTACATGTATGAAACTTGATTCCTGAATTGGCTCCTAAAAGACCTCAGACATGAAAACCTCAGAAAAACCGCATTTTCAAATGAACAAAGTTTGCACGTGCACGTGCACGTGCACAACAACCATCTCGACAAATTGGCCGAGTAGAAGGCTCAGCTAGCTATTTCCTCTGGAAGGAAATTCATTCAAAGCTGCATCAAAAAGAATATAAGCCTGATATGATACTACAAATATCAAATTATCCTGATATGATACTATGAATATCAAATTATAGTATCCATGATCACCATGATATGCAACCAAGCCTACATGGAGACAGCTGGTTCTTGTAAAGATCATTTCTTCAATTCGATGACCCTCCCAAGTTTTTGCAGGTCAGAATGGATAAGATAAATCTTGTAAATATCCACGCTATTGAGTAACAATCTTGCGTGCAGTTAATGCTTTTGAACCCTGAGAATAATCAATTGCTCATGACTCCTGTAAAGAGTTAATTGCACATACACCCCTTGTGGTACCATCGTTGTTTTAAACTTACACCCCCTGTAGTTTCATTCATGTAGCTGGACCCCTTGGTTAATTTTTTACCCCTCTCTTTTACCCTCCGTAAACTTGACAGCTATCACCCCAAGGTGAAATTAGTGAGTTTATCTGAGGGTAAAAAAGTCAAAAAGAATTAAAGGAAGGGGTCTATCTGCAACAAGGAAACTACAGAGTAAGTCCAAAACAACGACGCTAGAGGGGGTCTATGTGCAATTAGCCCTAAGAAATAAGTAAATGAAATACCAAAAAACGAAAAATTGAATTAGTATTTCTGAAAAACAAGAAACTTACCTTGTGCCATATGGATACAGTGTGCTAGGCCATGACCAGTTCGGATAGAATGGCAGCAAATATTACACTGAAGAGGCAGAACAAGGAAAACAAATCTATGAACCCAAACTTCGATTCAGAAAATAAGTAAATCTTGTGCGCATTGCTATCACCAAGAAAACCTCGTGCAATCATTGCCTGTCCAATGATACAACCATGGATTAGAAGAATACCTAGTAATTCAAGTAAAGGGTAGAATTGCAGATAATCCTCCACATGTAAACCTTCAGTAACACATACCACCCATCAACTCTTTTGTTAGCACTTATCATCCCTAGTTTGACATTTTGAGAATAATAAATTACAGTAACTCCTACTACCCCCACCTTTCTTCCTCAAGAATTGACAGTGCAATAAGCACTAAAAAGTTAGTTGAGAGCTGGTAAGTTGTACTAAATGTATAAATGAGGGGGGTTATCTGCAATTTTCCCTTTAATAGAAGAGTGATGGTGCAAAGGATAGATTTTCACTTTTTAAGTACTGAGGTTATTACTCTTTTGCATGGATTATAATTCATAATGAAAGATAGAATCAACAAAAACCAGCAAAACATAAACATTGATGCAGGGAACCAACAAAACCTCGGAGCCAGGACACTGGAGAACTTAACTAAAGTAAACAGGGAACCTTAATCTTTTATCAAACTTAATCGTCATTGCACAATGAGCCACTTTTTCTTGTCAAGGCTTATACCAACTTGGAGAAACAAAGTAAATAACCTTTCAATCTAATACCATTCAA